ATATTTTATAGTGATTAAGCCACTCTAGATATTTCCACACAAAAAGCATTTTTCCATCCTATCTTACCTCATATATAACAATGAATTAACTAATGTTTTTTAGCTAATTTATACTTACTGGCTAAGAACAAAATTACTAGAATTGTTATTAATTGTTTAAGTATTTTCTTAACTTATCTTTGAATTTTAATAATATATTTTGTATTTCTACCTAATTGATAGTTGATACATTTATCAAATGCTTAATACAACAATAAAAATTTGTTTTCTACAAATTTTCAACAGTTAGATTTTGATTTTTGAGTATTGAGTAATTTGTAATCCTGAGAAAAAGTTTTAAATAATGATTTTTTTTATCTTTGTGTTTATACTTTATTGCCAGAAAAAGAATTAGATACAATCAATGATACACTTTAAGTATCATTGTGTAGGTAAACGGTAAACATAACAGTTTAAACTTTTATAGTAGTGAATATATTTTAGTTTTTCAAATTTGTATAATACATCCAATTATCCAAGTATCCAATAAAAAATATTACAATTATTATTAATTAATATCAGTACTTTTAAATTTATTATCACAAAAACTAACCTACCACTACAGCACTACTCAACTTGGTTGGTGTACTGGAACATCGGGTGTCGATCCAAATTTCCATTATTCCCAATTTATTTTAACACATTTATCAGTACTTTTAAGATTATGAGGATAAGGGAATTTTAAATTATTTCTTTTAAAATCGCCGAGTGAGATATTTTGTGTTTCATAGTTTACAGCACCTTCTATTGCAATATCTCTTATCAATTATCAGCAGATAAATATTGATGTGTTGTTATTTTGTATTCTGTTGCCTTGTCTCAGTTTGTTTATATGAGTATTGTATTTTGTATTATTTAACATTTTAAATTCAAAATATTTTAAATTCTGCTTAATTAAATGTATTCTTATCGTGTTTTTTAGCACTTCTAAGATGTATTTAATGTATGATAATTCATTTACTGTTTTATTTTTATTTTATAAGCAGGTTAAAACTTTTTTAAATTTTTTTATTTGCCACACGTTGCAATTTTAAAATGAATAAATTCAAAATTTCTGTCCAATCTAAACATTATATGACCATGCCGTTTCGTTTAAAAAATTTTTTAAGTTCTTGCCTTTTAGTACTGCCTTATTTTATGTTTTCAATTGGAATTACATTTTACCAAAGATCATTTTTACAAGTATGGACAGCTGTTACTTTAGTTKTTATAAACATCAATTGTATAGTTTTGTTGTTAATTTAATTTAATGTAAAATGTATAATATTTGTTTTATAGATGTTCCATTTTCCTTTGCTTGTTGTTTCATGTCACTTGGTTTTAAAATTTCTTGCTTCAATTTTTTTCCGGTGCTTATATCATATAATTATGAAAATTCCTTCTGCGCAATTATCTTGGGACAGTAAAGTTTCAAAATTTGCACCTATTGGAATTTCAAGTGGTATTGATGTTGGATTTTCAAATTGGGGACTAGAACTTGTTAATGTTTCATTGTATGTATTATTAACTTTAGGCTCTTATTTATTTATTTATCAGTATATAAAATTGTCTGTTTTAGGTACACTATGACCAAGTCAACAGCTATTATTTTTGTGTTAATTAATGCCTTAATYTTACGTCTAGAGAAAGCAGTAAGTTAAAGAAACAGTGAATAATAGTGAATCATTGGTATTTTTTTTAATATAATTTTTTTTTCGATTTATAGTCAGTGGTACTTTTCCTTATTGTATTTTCAATTTCTGGAGGACTATTTTTGTTCACATTCAAAACMACAGATTTCAGTATATTAGGATTTGTTTTATTACTAACCGCATCATTTGCCAGGTAAATACCATAATTGTTAATTTATGAAAACTAATCAAATTTGTTTTCATTATATATTTACYATGTATATCAGGTTCTGTTAAAAGAAAGATATTATTTAAGTTAGCATACAAATAACTAATTTTTGACCTCATTTCTATTAAAAGTTTTTACTATAAGTATATTTGTAAAAAAATAAATCTGTTATATTTTCTTGATTTGAAAAATATAATTTTTATAACCTAACAATACATAATACAATGTACRAAATAGTAAAACATGCATTTTAAGTCCGTGTACAATATTCACTCGTATTTTAACGTTGACTGTCATGAGGCTGCTTGCATCCGTATAAAAATAATTAGGTATTGATAATTTTTAGACCGCCGGCTGCCGCACCATATCATTCATAGGAGGCCATACGGCCGCAGGCTGCCGTAAATTAATTTAGATTTATATTATTAACTTTTCCGTTGCACTRCAATAATGAACTTGAAAATACGCTGTGGCGTAGTGGGAATAGTTGCAATTTTTTTTCAAATTCAATAGTATATATACAAATTATAATTTATAATTAAACTGAATAATGTCTTTGGTGTACCCATGATAAATATTCTTGAGGCCGCCGGCAGGCGCATGGCAGTCAACGTGTTAATAACTATGTACAACTGTGACCAAAAGTCTATACTTTTTTAAGTAAATAATTCTTAATGAATAGTATGATTTTACACTATACTCTATTCAGTTTAAGTTGACCCACTCGTCAGACAAAAACCGGTCATGATTGCGCATGTCTCTCAGCGCTAGTGTCCGATGGTCGCCTTACCACCTATTGACTATGACACCGGTCGACTCCGGTCTCCAATAGTTAACGACGATTGGCGACTAATCACAGATCATCATTCACCGACCAGAGGGGTCTGACCGTTTTGGCGGCTCAGTATGCATGCGCGAGAGTGGGTCAACTTAAACTGAAAAGAGTATATTTGTTAGCAGCAGTTGACAGCTAATTACTCATAAGTCATAACAATAGTAGTTGATCCTTGCTAGGGAAATGTGGTAATTTTACCAGAYTGTACCTGGCAAAAAATTGTTGTCATTTACAAGTACTCTTAATGTAAATAGACTATAGTTATTACTAAGATTTGAAAATTGATTCAAGAAACCTTTTAAAATAACCTAAAAAATATGAATAAATTATCTAAAAAATAACCTTAAATGCCTTTATAAAATAACTCGAAGTTGACATATACAGAAATAAAATAAAAAAATATAAATAAATTACCATTACGAAGTATTTATTTAATTTTAAACAACTAGTTAAATATTTCAATGTATAAATGTTTAACAGACAATATCAATATCTTCATAAAATATTAAAGACAGACATAAAATTGATAAACCAAATTAAAATTACATAAAATAATAAGTGTACGCTTGATATTTTTCAAATTGAACTTGGGATAGTTATCAGAAAACTAATGTTTATATAGTATATACTTAGAAAAGCTCCTATCTATGTGTACTGGTGTACTGATATAGTGATGCAGAGCTGTAATAATATATAGACTTACCATATTATAAAAACCAACCATGTTTTGGGTTTGTACTAAACTACTGTTAATATAAGTACTCTGTACACCCGATAGTCGGCTGCAGTTGTCCGCCGGGATTAATAATATTTTAGTAGCAAATTAATAATTATTTTCCATTTGTTTTTGTAATCAATTTTTAAAAATAAAAATATGATAAAATAAACAAAATGAAATATTTAAAAAAATGATATAATGTAGAAAATATAAGGATAACAATGAAGAAATTACCAGAAAATGCAAAATAAAAGTCGGTTATTTAGATTTGCATGCTTTTGAAACATATCTTCAGCTAAGAAAGCATCATCTAAGGAGTTCTAAAAAAAAAAATGAATCAACTTCCGATCCTAGTTATTACTAACTATGGATGTGTATGAAAATATATATGTATAATAAATATATTTTTATTCCAATGATTTAATATCAGCTAATATCAAAAYATACATGTTTATATTTAATTACATCATTAAAAGGACATAGGTCGTCTCTGTTTTACTTATGTACAACATGGTAAAAACATTTTTGCTTCTCTCTGTATTTAGAGTAGAATTCCAAAATTTCACAAGCATAGGTAAGAACTTTATCTGTAGCTTAGCGTTTTAATTTTTTTGATAGCACTAACCAATAATTTTTAATAATTAAATGAAAAAAATATTAGATTATAACTTATAAGTAATAGATGAAGTTTTCCCTCTGCATAGCAAAYGTTTGGTAATTTTACTGAAAATATAGAGGGGGTAAAGTTATCTCACATTCAATAGTTTAGTATGTTGTACATATTATTTTGTGACATGAAGACTGTCGATTAAAATTTTTTCTTGAGATGGTAAATTAAAAGTGATCTTATAATAGTAAGTGTTGAATCAAAATGTATTTATATCATTAACTCTCAGGGAAATGATTTAGAAATTGTATATTACTTTAACACAGTGTGTTATACTTGATATTAATATTGATTATAATACCTAACAGCAATAATAAAGTGCATAATTTATATATTACAGTGGTTTTCGTTGGACACTATCACAATTTGTTATGCAGAAAGCCGACATGGGCATGAAAAGTCCTGTTGATATGATGTATTTTAGTCAACCCTGGATGTTTATTGCGATATTCCCAATTTCATTGTTTTTAGAAGGTAAAATATCTTTCACTTATAATTTTAGATTATGAACAGAATGATGARTTTATTGATTCTACAAATACATTTATTTTGATAGGRAAGTGAATCTAGTTATTTCTTTATGAAGGTCAAAAGGAAAAATTCTTTTGTAGTTTTCAAAAGTGTTGGGAAAAATGGTTTTTTACGCACAATTAGTATTGAAAAAATTGGTTATGTTTTCTTTGGTGTTACTCAAAAACTATATAATATATAGTATATTATACTTAAAATTGTTCGAAAATTTTTATGTGACAATTTTCAGTATTTGATAAAAATTACTATTTTATAGCATTTAAAATATATTATTTTACCTTTTTTGAGCTTTTTGACATTCTAAAACACGTGTTTACAATACATTTGGGTGAAAAAAAAAAAAAAAAAAAAAATGGGTCAAAAAGCTTAAAGGTTCATAATATAATATTATTAATAACAGTTCATAAACATTAAATTAAATACACTTAGTCAATATTTTTTTAAACAGTCAAATCACAGTTACTAAAAGTCAAAGGAAGATAAAATTTTGAGATAATTATTATTCAAGCCTTCAAGCCATCACAGTTTAATTTAACCAGAGGCAGACTGGCTAGGTGGGATATTGGGCATAGTCCTATTGTGCTGCTAGCCTCCTAAGGCTGACTAGGCTAAACTATGTAAATTTTAAGTTTCAACTAAAATAAAATAATAGTTAATGACCATCAAAATAAAACCATGTATAATAAAATTTATAATTTAGATAATTAGTAATTATTAATTACAAATGATTACAAATGAAT